CTGTGCTGACTGCCAGCTCAGAGCCTGGAGCCTGTTTCAGTCTGTGACTCCCTCTCTCTCTGACCCTCCCCTGCTCGCGCTGTCTCTCTCTCTCTCCCCCCGAGAAATAAATAAAAACATTAAAAAATTAAAAAAAAAAAAGAAACAGATACATGAATACCTTAAAAAATATTTAAACAACTGAACATGAATTTTCACAAAATCATTCTTGTGCCTCTGCCTACTTCAAACAATTGCTTAAAAAAGGTAGCCTTAAAAGCAACAATGTCTTCATTTAACTGTATGCCCTCAAGCGAGTTTTAAAAGAAAAGTGGGATTTAGGGGCACACCTTCCATGTAGGTAGCAATCAGGTTCCGCTGAGGGGTGTGTGATAAGAATCGCATCCCTCTGGCGAACAGTCAGGGCTCTCTCCAGTTTGCCAGTGACTGTGCTAACACGGGCGAGCACCACCTCCTCCCCCACCCAGCAGATCCACTCGCTGTGAGGAGAGAGGGTGCAGCAAACCAAATCCCCCCCCTTGTCCCTCGTCAGAGCTGAAGCTTCTGACAGTCCGCCCCTGCACACTCATGACACCATGGTTCTCGATCTGTTGAGCACCACAAAGTGCTCTAGGATTTTAGGAAGCAGGGTCACACTGTTGACAGTGATATCTGTCGCTGAGGTGCTGCCCAGGGAGGTAAAGGTATATGCACATTCTGTGGCACTCTACAGGGCCATCAAAGGATGTGCTGATAATATAATGTCCATCTTGTATAAAAGTTGCTTCATTAACAAAAGGGAGATGACCGTGGAGTTCCTTCAGGGTTTTCCCAGATTACACACGTGAATTCTAATTGTGTGGTCAAAAGAGACACCAAGGAGCTAACTGCTGGCCCTTAGAAAAGCTTAGACAGGGGGCACCTTTACCGTGTGCCCTTTCAAATCTCCTTAAACACTGTCCTCTGTGAATCTTCCCCGAGGGTTGTTTCTGACTTCCACTTTGGACCACGTGAGCCACTTTTAGCCATCATTAGTATTCTATTTCCTTAGTCAATGAGCATATCTGTGAAATGCTGAATCTGGCTTCACAGATCTGACCTTTGTAATCCCTGTGGGTTGGCTAGTGCATTATTCAGTAATTAATGAAGCCATTATTCAGTAATTAATGCTTGCCTCTCTCCCTCTAAAGAATACACACAAACAAATGTAGCATTCTCACTGAAGACGTTCTCGCTCATTTCATCAGGGGAGCAGGTTTCGTGTAGCTGTGCTGTCCTCTCTCGGGGTCTCTAAGGATACAGTAGACTATTGGAAAACCATGAAGTTAGAAAAACCCTAAGTTATAAGAAGTTTTAATGGAAAATATTTTATAACACACATCTCATTACCTGTGTGTTAGTAACATATACAAACAACAAGACATTCTGGGTAATTTAAGTCCATAAACCTGCACACTCTATACCCACAGCCAATATCGTGCTTTCCTCTGCATCAGACGTATGAATTCTCAGGCCCAGTTCTTTTTGTGTTCAGCCTTCACGGTTTCCTGAGAATCCAGAGGAAATGCCAAGTTTTAGAGGAGGCAAGAAATTCTGTTCTCTGTGTTTTCTTGGGCCGGGCAGCACTCACTGCTTGCCTCTCTCCCTCTAAAGAAAGCAAGTCACTCAATCCATTTTTTATGTTACCAGAAGGAGAACTTTATGACTTTTGTTTGGTGTTCCCAGAAGAGTAATTCAGTGTGATCAACGAGGCAAGCTTAGCAATTAGTTTGGTTCCTAAAACTACCTTCTCTTTTTATATGCTTATATTCTGAAGAACCACGGACCTAAATCAGAGTTAAAATAATTCCTCTCGGTGAGAATGAAACATAATAAGGATGAAATGCAAGTCTGGAGAGCCCTACATTGCTTAGATGTCATCCTAAAATGAGAATGTCAGTGTGCTTTGAATGCAGGAAGGGTTTAAATGGTATGATCATCTAGTTTCCAGAAGGTGCTCTCTCCATCTTTCCAGAGTCTTCTCTGGGAACCTCAGTTCTAGAACTTTTCATTGCATCAGGAACGCATATGCGCGTGCCTGCCTCCCCTTCTAGTTTGTGAATTTCTAGAGGGCATTGGTGGGGTTTGGTTTGTCTCTGCCTTCCTCCACACTTCCTGTAGTAAGATTTCATACTCAAAGGACAACTGATAGAGGTCTGTGGAGCTGAATTCTATCCAGGTATGGCTTTGCTGTATCTTAATCTTTGGGATGGGTGACCTCTGAGTCACACTCAGATGATTCTTAACTAGGCTTCCGACTGCCTTAAAAGATCAATTTGTTAGTTATTCCCAAGCCCTGATTACTTGGTGTTATATAATTATACTGTGATTAAACTAAAAATAAGCAGCATATTTAAATAACTCAATTCGGGAGAGTGGGTGATGTACACAAATGTCCCTGCTCCTCCTTTCTTGGTGGATAAAATTAAGTGCATCATTAGCAAAAGTTGGATCCTTCCAGTACTGATGGGCCTCACTTGAGGCAAACACACTTGAAATTTGGATTGATACAGAAAATAAATCTAGGGCATTATTTTTTCCCTTTCAAACTTGTCTGGAATTAACATTCCTTTAAGTAGTAAATTTAGAGTCTGACTCAAATTTTAAAAAATGAATTAGAGTCTGTGAAAAAGAAAACAATAAGAAATTTCTAAAAGTGGCCCTATTTGGGGAAGACAATCAGCAGCCTAGTAGCTAGAGATGGGAGGGGGAAAGACTTATTTCTCAACGAACCCCTCTTGTGTGTAGTATAATATATTACTTACTGAAAGATAGACTCAGGGGTGCCTGGGTAGCTCAGTCGGTTCAGCGTCCGACTTCAGCTCAGGTCATGACCTCACAGTTCATGAGTTTGAGCCCCGCATCAGGCTCTCTGCTATCAGGGAAGAGCCAGCTTTGGATCCTCTGTCTCCCTCTCTCTGCCCCTCCCCAACTCGTGAGTGTGCTAACTCTCTCTCTCTCAAAAATATATAAGCATTTAAAACAAGAAAGGTAGACATAAACAAACATATTTCAATATAATTTTGAAAAATAACAAACTTAGAGGACCTGTGCAGCCTGATCCTAAGATAAACTATGAAGTTGAAGTACTTGGGGTAGTGTGGTGTTGGGGTAAGGAGACATGTATACATCAATGAGACAGGCACAGACTCCAGAAACAGACACACGCAGATGGCCAGTCGGTTTTTGACAAAGACGCAAAGGTAACTTGTTTCAAAACTAGATATCCACAAGGAAAAAAGTAAATGTCGACACTTAACGTGATACACAAAAGTTAAATAAAAATAAATGGTAGACCTAAATGTAAAATCTAAAATGATAACATTCTTGAAGAAAAGATAGGATAAAATCATTGTGACCTTGAGTCTACAAAGATTTCTTGGGACACAAAACCCACAGAGCCTAAAACCAAAATTACATGTAATAAGCTTTATCAAAATGAAAACTTCTGCTTTTCAAAATAACACCACTAAGATCATGAACAGCAAGTGACAGACCGGAAGGAGATACATGCAAAACATACATCTGATAAAGAAATTGTACCCAAGGATATGGGCAAAATATTTAAAGACATACTTCACAAAGAAGATGTGCAAATGGCCAACAAGTACATAAAAGAGGCTCAACACCAATACTCATCAAAGAAATGCAAATTAAAACTGTAATGGAAAATTGAGATGACTGATAATACCAAGTATTCATGACGATACGGAGCAGCTGTAATTCTTATATGCTGCAGACATAAGGTCAAATGTACTGCTACTTTGGAAAACACGTTCGCTGTTTCTTGTAAAATTAAACGTACTGTACACCCTGGCAATCCCACTTCTGGGTATTTGTGCAAGAGAAATGAAAACATGTTATGTGTCCGCATAAAGACTTGTGCTTGAACGTTGTATT